GTCCTACTTAGGAGGAATATCAACTCTATAGTTCCATGTCATAATTTGGTTTTAGAGATCTCGATTGCCTTTCCCTTCCACAAAATATCACACTAGTCATTGAAGACATTACGTTCATTAGACCTAATAAGCAAGAAGAAGCAATTACTCTTGACACTGGTAAGATATTTGCATGACAGAAAGTAGAAAATAAATGTGACAAAAATTCAGGGGCCTTCTACATGAGTGAAATTTCTAGATGTCCAGTGGTGAGGGGCATGTCAAGATATCCTTTCTAAGGGGAAGGAGAAGTAGCATCTGGCCACTCCCAAAACCAACAGAATGGCACAATACTTGGCAGTCCATTTGGATTTTTGAAGGTAAAATGTTCCTCATTTGGTTGCCTAACTCTGGCCCATTTACCCAGTGACCCAAAGAGCTGCTAATTTTGAGCTGGGCCCAAAACAAAGGGAAATTCTGCAATAGGCCCTCGCTGACAGGCAAGATGTTCTGTTGCTTAGTCCACCTGATCAAGCAGATCAAACAGTGCTTGAAGCAGCAGTGACAGACAGAAGCAGCAGTGACAGACAGAAATGTTTAGCGCCTCTGACAGTTCCCTATAGGTCAGGTGCAGTGCAGGCGTTCAGTATTTTGGAGCAAAGCTTTGTGATCCTCTGTGAATGACTACTCTCCTTTTGAGAAACAACTATTGGTCTACTACTGGACCTTAAAGTAGAAACTGAACATTTAACTGAACATCGGCCACCAAGTTACCATTCAACCTGAGCAGCCCATAGTAAACTGGATGTCATCTGACTCACCAAGCTACAAAGCTGGGCAGTGCAGCAGCACTCCATCACGAAATGGAAGTGCAACGTATGTAACTGGGCCCCACCAGGGCCTGGAAGGCACAAGTCACATAAAGGAGTGGCCCAAATGCCCCTGCTCCCCATTCCTGCTACACTACATTTTCTCTCCTAGCCAGCACCTATGACCTGGGGGGAATTTCCTACCCATCAGGTGACAGGAGAAAAGGAGACAGGGACCTGGTTTGCAGATGGTTCTACATGATATGAAGAACCAAAAGTGGATGAGTGTAGCACTACAGCCCCCTTCTGGGTCATCCCTGAAGTCCACCTGACTGTTCACTTTCCGTGGAAGAAGAAATAGCCAGACGTGATTATATACCAATTTATGGGCTATAGCCAATGACTGGGTGGTATGGCAAAGATATTCGTGTCCTATGTGAATATTTGCCAAAGGGTGATCTCAGCAGAGGAGAATTTTAATAATCAAGTAGAGAGGATGACTCATTCTTTCCCCAGCCGCCTATTCTCATCCATGGGCTCTGAACCAAGTACTCACAGTGGCAGGGTTGGCGGTGTGCATGGGCTCAGCATCATGGACTTCCTCTCAACAACTGAGATGGCTATTGCTGCTGCTAAGTGCCCAAATTCTCCAGTAGCAAAATCCAATCCTGAGTCCCAAATATGGCACCATTCCCTAGGTTAGTCAGTCAGCTGCCTGGTGGCAAGTTGATTATATTTTTCTCTTTCCATCATTAAAAAGGCACTGCTTTGTTCTTACTGGGATAGACACACACCCTTCATATAGATTTGCCGTCCCTGTAACAACACTTCTGTGAACTACTAAAACTACTTTCTGTGGATATACAGAATTCCGCTCCCCCCACCATCATCATAATATTCTACACAGCACTACTTCAGACCAAAGAATTCACTTGATAGCAAATGAAGTAAGGCAATGGGCCCATGCACATGCCTTACCATGTTCCTTCCCCACCCTCCTGAAGCAGCTGGCTGACAATACAGTGGAAATGCCTTTTGGAGACTCAGTTACAGTGCCACTAGGTAGCAATACCTTACAGTGCTGGGGCAAGGTCCTCTAAAAGGCTGTATATGCTCTCACTCAGCAGCCAATATCTAATGCTGTTTTTCCCACAAACAGGATTCATGTGTCCAGGTATCATGGGGTAGAAATGGGAGGAGCACCACTCACCATTATCCATAGTGACTCACTAGCAAAATCTTGTTTTCTGTTCCCATGACTTTATACTCTGCTGGCCTAGAGGCCTTAGTTCCACAGGGAGGAATGCTACCGCCAGGAGCCGCAACAATGATTCCACTGAACTAGAAATTAAGCCGGGGCCCAGCCACATTGGCTCCTCATACCTCCGAGTCAACAGGCAAAGAATACAGTTTCTATGCCAGGTAGAATTACTGATATGAACTACCAAAGGGAAATTGGACTACTACTCCACAATGGAGGCAAGGAAGAGTATGTCTAGAATGCAGGAGATCCCTTAAGGCATCTCTTAGTATTACTATGCTCCATGATTAAGTTCAAGTTCAATGGTAACAACCCAATCTAGGCAGGACAGTTTGGGTCACCCTAACAGGTAAAGAACCACAGACAGCTAATGTGCTTGCTGAAGGCAAAGGGAATACAGAATGGGTGGAAGTTAGTTATAAATACCAGCTACAATCACGTGACCAGTTACAGAAATAAAGACTGTTTCATTAAGAATAGGTGTGTGTGTGAGAGAGAGTGTGTGTGTATACATATACACATGTATTGAGCAAATAATGTTTTCATTCCTTACACCTTTATCATGCAACATAAGATCTATTGACTTGATATTACAATATTTAAGTATTGTTAACTTTATATCCCGGCATTTAAGTTAAGGGGTATCAAGAAGACGAATAAACATGACTCAAGGACTTTACCTCCTTTTCTGGGAAAGAGGTTAGTGAGGTTCTAGTTGTATGCAGGATAGTGGTATTATATCATGCTAGGTGGAACTATGCCCTTAACAAGGTCCACATTTAGAGATTTGGTATAGTTTCAGAAGGTAACTATGGGTTTCAAGTTGACAAGGAGTGAATTTTTGATTAGGATTAATTTTACCCCCTGTAGTAGGGTTAATTTGACTCAACCACAGAATCCCCAGATATTTAGTCAAACATAATTATGGATGTCTCTGTAAGAGTGATTCTGAATGAGATTAACATTGAAATCCATAGACTGAGTAAAGGAGATTGCCCTCCCTATTGGAAGTAGGCCTCATCAATCAATTTTAAACTTGAATGAAAAGGCCAATCCTCCCTCAAGTATGAGAAAAGTCTTCCTGAAGGCCTTTGGGGTGAGACATCAGCTTTTTTCCTGCCTTTGGAAATGAACAGAAACACTAGCTCTTTCACGGTCATGAGCCTGCCAGACTTCTAACTGGAACTATACCATCAGCTCTACAGGGTCTCCAGATTGCTGACTCACCCTGCAGATCTGACACTTACCAGCCTCCATAATCACATAAGCCAATTCATATATGGGCTTATGCTATTATGCAGGATTTATTACATGAATCTAATATATCAGATTCCTCCAGGAGAATATATTAGATTTTCATGTGATAAATATGTAATATGTTGCATATTTATTATATATATAAATAATACAGTATACATAAATATTACATTCATGTAATAAATCCTCCAGATTACATATACAGTAATATATCTATAGTAATGTATCACTTAACAACAGGGATATGATCTGGGGAGTGAATTGTTACGTGATTTTGTCATTGTGCAAACATCACAGAGTGCACTTAAACCTAGGTGGTATAGCTTACTACACACCTAGGCTATGTGGTACAGTCTATTGCTCCTAGGCTACAAATCTGTACAGCATGTCACTGTACTGAATACTGTAGACAACTGTAACATAATGGCATCTAAACATAGAAAAGGTATCTACACATATCTAAACATAGAAGAGTTACAGTAAAAATACAGTATTATAATTTTATGAGACCACTGTTGTATATGCAGGTATAAGACTGTATATATAAATGTGCAACACAATGATTCCATTTCTCTGGAGAACCCTAACTAATACCAGAGAGAAATCAGTCAAGACTGAAGAGGAACAGAGGCCTTCTGTTCAGACTTATTTGAAAAAATTGAAATAAATAGAATACTTGATGTTTCTAATCAACTCAGGGCACAATCAGGCCACTGGTTAACAATATAAAGGTCAATTAATGGAAACTACATAGGAAACTAACCAGACCAAAAGAGAGAGATGAGAGACAGGGAGAGAAAGAGAGAGAGAGAGAGAGAGAGGGAGGGAGGGAGAGAGGAAATTAGTAACTCTAGAAAAAACAAAAGGCAGGAAAGTAATTATAACTTACTATATAGTTTAGTTGTGAATAGCATTAATGTGGCCACTATACAATACATATTCAACACTGCCCTAACTAAAATTACAATTAATCCATATTGGGAGGATGGAGAATGGAAATGAGCATAGGTATAATGGGAAGAAAACTATCTTACCTTCTATAGTGAGAAATTAATAACTAATGCCTAAAACAAAAAAAAATCAAAATGTAACATGGCCAAGAGATTATCTAAAGACCTAGCAGAAGTTATCAAAAATCTTAGCCAAAAAAGGCAAAATTTCCTCAAGTGATGGAAACACTGGGTGGGAACAGTCCTTATTTGTTCATAGTATGCATTACATAGTAATGTGGCTCTTTATGTGTATGCCTTTGATAAAAATAAGAACTTTCAAAAGAAAAAATACATAAATTTTTTTAAATCCTAAATATCTATCAGTCAGAGAATAACAAAATCATGATCGATCCATTTATCTAATGGAATACTTAAATGTGCTAAGATATATCAATATAGATGAATTTCAAGAACATACTAAGTGAACAACTCAACATTATTAAAACTAGAGGATACTATGTATGTATCTGTGTGTGTATGTTATGCCAAACATAAAAAGATATAGACAGTAAAAATAAGAAACATCAACTAAATCTGTGCATATTAAATTCATAATCATGACTGCCTCCAAAGAAGGAAGAAAGGAAATATGATGAGAAATAGGAGAGCCTCAACTTTATCAATAATGTTTCATTACCTTTTTTAAAAAATCTAAATCAAAAATAATATCAAAACAACCAATAATAAATGATGATAACTTACTTGAGCCAAAGATGACTTGACACTGAGCATCATAATACTGGCACATGCCGTTGTAGCAATAGGCTTTGTTATTCTGGCAAGGATATCCATTCTGAATAAAAACATCTGGCTGACAGAACTGAGAAGAACCATTGCAATACTCTGGAACGTCACACTCACTGGTTTTTCCTCGGCATAAAGTACCTCCTGGAAGGAACTAGTGAAATAAGATTCAAATTAAACAAATATATCAGGGCAACGTCCACAAATTAATCAAATGTGAAACCACAGCATTTACATCCATAAAGCATTCTAACAATAACAGAAGATTAACCCAATAGAAAAATGAACAATGGCTAATAGGCAATTCATGTAAGTTGTAACCATGGAAAATGAAGAAACAAGACCTCATTTGTAACTAAAAGAAATGCAAACTAAATAAAAATGTAAGAACCCTTTACACCTATTAAATTAACTAGGAGTATAGCGCTTGCTAGCAACCAATATTGGCATAAGGAAATAAGTATTTGATAACACTGTTGGTAAAAATATAGACCGGCACATTTGGAAAAGATAAATAAAATGTATATTAAAAACTTACTTTGAATATTCTGTACCAGTGATTTCTCTTATAAGTAATAATTGGAAGCAATCAAAATGTCTATCATTAGTTGACTAAAGAAATTATGATATAACCGTACAGGTAATACTACTTATATAACCATGTATAACAGAACTACTACTTGAATGGGAAAAAAGTCTATGGTGTCATATTGAAAAAAGCAGGTAGTAAAAATACATGTATCTGGGCTTACCCACTTAAAAACACACCTACACACATACACTCACATTTGTATAGAAAGAAGTGATTATGTTAACAAATTATCAACAATGGTTACCTGAAGAGTATAAAATGATAGAAGCTCTTTCATTCTCTACTTTCTATACTTTGGTGTTATTGAATTATTTCTAACAAGCATATGTTACTCTAAAAATCAGAAAAAAATGTTTCTACTTAGAAAACAATCTCAACAGACCATTTAATATAAAAGACTGTGCTTTAAAATTATACACAAGTGTCATAAAAAATTTTCCCATGACCATAAAATAAAAAAAGTGTTCACTTGGAGATATCCAAAAAAATTTTTGATATACACAGATATTCTTTTTCTTTTTTTTTTTTTTTTTGTTCCCAATAGGGAGGAATTCCTTACCCGACAGTCTTTACAACAGTCACCATATGCACACTCAGCAAATGATTTAAGTTTACAAGTATTTCCTTCACAGCAAGGGTCCGATTCACATTCCTGTGAACATAAAATGACTGTCAATAAAGAAATTAGTTACTGACATTATTATTCATTAATAAAATTCTTATCTCACACCTAAAATCTACTTCATACTAACATGATTATAGTAGTTATTCTCCAGAAACAGATGCTTACTATCCCTCTGGATTTAACAGTGTCTCTTTAACTGCAAGTATTTAGGTCTCAACATATTTCAAAGGACAGAAATCACATAGTGTGTGCCTTATTTAGTCTGCTCAGAATGCTATAACAAAATACCATGCGCTTAAACTACAGAAATTCTGGAGGCTAGAAATCCAAGATCAAGCTTTCCACTATTTCAGTTTCTGGTGAGGAATCTCTTCCTGGCTTGCAGAGGGCTGCCTTCTTAGCATGTGCTGACATAGCCCTTCCTCAGTGCATGTGTGCAGAGAGAAGGCAAGTGAGATATATGGTGTCTCTTCTTTTAAGGATACTGATCCTACCAGATCAGGACCCCACTCTATGACCTCTTTTAATTTTAATTACTTCCTTAAAGGCCCCATTTCCAAATGTAGCCATACTAGTGGTTAGGGCTCCAACACATGAGTTTTGGGGAAGCACAAACATTCCATCCATAACAGTATGTTTGATGATCACAGAGAGGTTAGCATCCATAAAGGCTTCATGCTCAGGGTCTAACTACCCTGTTGGGTGGCTCTTCACCCTAGCTGGAAACTCTTTTTATCTTGCTTGCTTCTTTCACCATACTTTGGGCCGCCATAGCTCCTTCTTACCACCAAACTCCCACCCACAGAGACATCTTCTGTGTTAATATAGCAATGTCAATGTTCTGTTTTTTATTCTGTGGTACAGCTTTATAAGATAACACCACTAAAGAAAACTGGGTGAAAAGTACATGGGACTCTATATTATTTTGCAACTTCTGGTCAGATTATAATTATTTCATAATAAACATTTTAAAATAAATGAACTTTAATGTACTTCTTGAAATATACCCAAAAAAAGTCAAAATGCATCATGGAACTAAATGCAAAACCTAAAACCATAAAACTTGTAGGAGAAAACCTTTGCAACTGTGGAATAGGCAAGAAGTCCTTAGATATGACACCAAAAGAAGAACCGATAAAATGACAAATTTATAAAATAAACTTCATCAACACGTAAAAGTTCTGCTCATCAAAAGATACTGCTAAGTTAAAGGCAAGCTACACCTTGGAAAAAATATTGACAATCTGACAGAGAACTTGTATCCAGAATACACAAAGTAGTCTCAAAACTCAACAATAAGTAATCAAAATTTTTAAATGAGGGGAAAGAGTTGAACAGTTATATCACCACAAGATAGCCTGATGGCAAATAAGCACATGAAAACACGCTCAACACATCATTAGTCACTAAGAAAATGCAAATTAAAACCTCAATGAGGCACCACCTTACACTTAATAGAACGGCTAAAACTAAAAAGACTGACCACATGAAGTACTGGGGAGGATATGAAAGAATGAGAACTCTCATACACTAAGGATGAACATGAGAAATGGTATACAATCAATTACTTTAGAAAACAGTTTGAGAATTTCTTGAAAAGTTAAATATACCTCTACCAGCTAACCAAGTCATTCCACTCTGGGGCATTTACCCAAGAGAATTAAAAACATAAGTTCACATAAAGATCTGTACATGAATGCTGGCCAGTTCAAAAACACTGCAGGACAGTGGTTTCATGAAAGAACAGGGAATCAGGAAATAGACAATGTATATAGGAACTCAGTTTATCATAAAAGTACCATTTTAAAATGGCTCCACAATAATTGATGGTTAGTGGATAAGTTTAATTTCTAAGCTTACTCCACATGCCCCCTCCTCAATTAAAGTGTTAACATAAAAAATATAAATTAAAAAAAGCTAAAATGATTTGTGGAGGGACTATGATGATGATCTATAAATAGGAATACTAAAAGCCAGATCAAGATACAAATTTCTGAAACCATTACAGGAAAAAAATTACTAAGTTTGCCTTCATTTAAATTTTAAATTTCAACATAAAATATAACCTATGAAAAGTTAAATAAGCTATAAAGAATATTAGAACATATATAAGGAGTTATGTCCATCTTATATAAAGAGGCCTGAAAATCAATTTAAAAAAAGATTCAATGAACCAGCAGAAAAACTGACAAGGAATACATAAAATAATTCAGAGAAGAAAATGATGTCTATGATCTATAATCACATGAAAATATGTAAACTAAAACAGTATCTTCTTATTTTTTAACTCATTAGCTTGCCAAAAATAAGACAACCAATATTATCCTGTGCTGGTAAGACTGTGGGTACCCAATGACATAATACACTGTTGTCGGAAAACAACATATTAGCTTCTGATAAAAGTTAAAATGTACATGCTTTTAGAGCCAATAATTCTACCTTTATGTACAATATATCTTAGAAAAACATTTGTATATATACATATGAGGTGTGTATATTTATATATATATGAGAGGTATATACAGGATGTATATGCAGCACTGTTTCTACACTAATTATAGCAATTTATTAGAGTCTGGTTAAATAAATCATAGTACTGGAATACTATTCAGCAAATTAAAGCATTATGTCTACATAATATAATGATACAGTAAAATGTCCAGGATATTGTAATAGAAAAAAATCTGCACACAACTGATTTTAAGTCAATTTTAAACAATATTGTCTGATTTTATTTACGCACATAAATAAAAGCCAGAGTGGTATCACCAAGATGGGAGAATACAAAGTCCTGGATTCTCCTTCCTCCAACAGGCAGTGCTGTATACACCCCATGTGTATATATACAAATATTTCTCTAAGATAGTTACATAAAGGTAGAATTACTAGATCTAAAAGCATGTGCATTTTAACTTTTATTGAAGGCTAACAAATTTCCTACAAAAAGTCGGCAATGCAACAGTAACACACTAATCAATTCCCTTTGTGAGAAACCCAGAAACTAGTTAAGAGGACACTACATCCCAGGCAATTGTAAAACCAGCTACATTGAAACCAGTAGGAAAACTGGAGATACTTTCTCACCACAATCCCAGCCCACGGCACAACATATATGATCAGGAGGAAACAGCTCTCAGCATGTCCCTGAGGAGTGAAAGAGTTGGGCCACACATCTAATATTACACAGTTTTTTAGAGTGCTGCCTGGGGACTATCTTCTATCTCATCTGCCTCTGAGGACATTAGGACCTGGAATATATTAGGCCCCTGGGGGGTTTCAGAGAACAAAGGTGGCAGGTTAAAGTAGCATGTGGGTACTTGCCACAGCTCCTCACCCTGTCTCAACACAAAGCAAATGGACAATAATAAAAAGGAAGCTCTTAGCTTCTCCTGGAGGAGGACCACATATCCAATGCTACAATTTTTCTAGGAGCTACCCAAGGACACTCAGACACTTGCCACAGTTCCTCTACCCAATTTAACACAGTGATTTAAAAAAAAAAAAAAGAACACTTCCAAGCTTTTCCCTGGAAAGAGAAACAGTTGGGCCACATGCTACATGTTCCAACTTCTCCAGGGACTGCCCAACATATTCACTTCTTTCTCCCCTCTCTTGGAACACTGATGGGCTCCCGCATAGTGTGGACACCAGGGGGCTAACAACAACATAAACAGCAGTTTTAACAAACATGAAAGTTTGAGAGGCCCAAAAAAGCGTTGGCCAGGTTAATTAGCGAAGGTCTTCTCACTAATTTGGGGGCCGAAGAATACACTAACTTAATGGAAGAATGCAGCAGAGGAGTTCAAGAGCAGATCAGAGCAAACAGAAGAAAGATTCAACAAACTCAAAATCTGGTTACTTTATCAAGTCAGAGGAGCAAAAAGAAAAAAGAAATAAAAGTGAAGAAACTTAAGGGACTTATGAGACACCATCAAGAAACCAATATATACACTGTGGTAATCCCAAAAGGAGCAGACAAAGAAAAAGTACCAAAAAGCTTATTCAAGGAAATAATGGTTGAAATTTTCCTAAATCTGGGGAAGGAAATGGACATCCAGATGCACATTAAAAGTAAAATACACCATAACCAAGTAAAATTTATCCTTGGGTATAAATCGGAATGAAATTTCATATACAACCTTATTATGTTGACAGTATTTTCCTCTATTTTTAGTTTGTTGAAAGCTTTTTGCATGAAAGGATATTGAATTTTATCAAATGCTTTTTCTGTATCTATTGAGATGATCATGCAATTTTTATTCTTCATTTTGTTATTGTGTTATATAACTCATTAATTTTTTTTTTTTGAGACAGGGTCTTACTCTTGTCACCCAGGCTAGAGTACAGTGCTGCAAACACAGCTCACTGCAGCTCTGGCCTCGTGGGCTCAAGTGATCCTTGTGCCTCAGCCTCTTGAGTATTTGGGACTACAGGCATATGTCACCATGCCTAGCAAATTTTTATATTTTTTGTAGAGATGGGGTTTTGCCATGTTGCCTAGAGAGGTCTCAAACTCCTGGACTCAAGAAATCTGCCTAAGACTCCCAGAGTGCTGGGATTACAGGCATGCACCACTGCACCTGATCTCATTAACTGATTTTTGTATATTGAGTCATCCCAATTTATATCCCAATTTATCTCAGTTCAGACATTTAGACATATAGACCAATGGAATAAAGAATGCAAAAATAGCTGGGCACAGTGGCTCACTCCTGTAATCCCAACACTTTGGGAGGCTGAGGTAGGCAGATCACAAGGTCAGGAGTTCAAGACCAGCCTGGTCAACACGGTGAAACTCCATCTCTACTAAAAATATAAAAATTAGCCAGGCACAGTGGCAGGCACCTGTAAGTCCAGCTATTTGGTAGGCTGAGGCAGGAGAATCTTTTGAACCCAGGAGATTGTGCCACTGCACTCCAGCCTGGGCGACACAGCAAGACTCTGTCTCAAAAAAAAAAAAAGCAAGCAAAAATAAAAACCCACAATGAGATCACCTGATCTTCAACAAGGATGCCAAGAAAAAGAATGGCGAAAAGGTAGTCCCTTCAACAAATGGTCCTGGGAAAACTGGATATCAACATGCAAAAGAGTGAAATTGGAACCTTATCTTACACTATAAACAAAAATCAACTTAAAATGAATTAAAGACTTAAACATAAGGCCTGAAACAGTAAAACTCTTAAAAGAAAACAGAGGAAAAGCTTCATGACATTGGTCTTGGTAATGATTTCCTGGATATGATGCCAAAATTTTAGGTAACGGAAGCAAAAATAGACGAGGACTATATCAAACTAAAAATCTTCTACACAGCATAGGAAGCAATCAACAGAGTGAAAAGCCAAGTTATGGAATAGGGGGAAATATCTGCAAACCATCTATCTGATAAGGGATAAACTTTCCAAATATGTAGGAAGTGTAATAGCTCAATAGCAAAAAAAGAAAAACTATAACCTGATTTAAAATGAGTTAAGTATCCTAAGTGACAGAACTCAGAAGCAGAAAGTCAAATACTGCATGTTCTCACTTATAAGTGGGAGCTAAGCAATCAGTATTGATGGATATATAGAGTGGAATAAAAGACAATGGAGACCCCAAAAGGTGGGAGCATGGGAGGGATGGCAGGGCTGAAAAATTACCTATTGGGTACAATGTTCACTATTTGAACGATGGGTACACAAGAAGCCCTCACTTTACCAATATGCAATATACACTTGTAAGAAATCTGCATTTACATCCCCTAAATATATTAAAATATTAAAAGAAACAAAAAATAAATTAAATTAAGTGAGCCTAAGACTTAATTGACGTTTCTCCATGAAGACACACAAATGGCCAACAGGTATATGAAAAGATGCTCAATGTCACTCAGCATCATGGAAATGCAAATCAAAACCACAATGAAATATCACATCATACCTGTTAGGATTGTTATCATGGAAAAAACAAGAGACAACAAGTGTTGGCAAGAATGTGGAGAAACTGGAACTCTTGTGCACTATTTGGAAGAATGCAAAATGGTGCCACCACTATGGAAATATTATGAAGGCTCCTTCAAAAATTAAAAATATAACTACCATGTGATTTAGTAATTCCACTCTGGATACTTATCTACAACAAAATCAAGATCTTGAAGAGATATTAGCATTCCTATGGTCACTACAGCATTATTCACAGTAGCCAAGATGTAGAAACCGCCTAAATGTCTGTCAACAGTTGGATGGATAAAGAAAATGTGGTAGATTTTAAAAAGTACATGTATACACACATATACACACATACAATGGAATACTACTTCCAAAAAAATAAGGAAATCTTGTTATTGCAACAACATAGATGAAACTTGAGTATACAATACCATGTAAGTGAAATAAGGTAGCCACAAAGGACATAATACTGTGTGATTCCACTTATATTAGGTATCTAAAATAGTCAAGTTCATAAATGCAGTGAACAGAATAGTGATTGCCAGGGGCTCATGGAACAGAAAATGGGGAGTTGTTGATCAACAGATATAAAGTTTCAGTTATACACAACGAAAAAGTTCTAGAGATGTTCTGTACAACATTAATACTCAGACTTAACAATATTGTATTACACATTTAAAAATCTCTTACAAGGGTCAATTTCATGCTAAGTATTCTTACCGCATTAAAGTAAAAATAAATCCTAAAACAAGCTCAATATTTATAAATGTACCTACTGTATACTGTATATAAATGTATGGAAGAGTCTAAAAAGAAATACATCACTCTTATAAGAAAAGAAAGTAAAAGATTTATGGGGGAAAAAAGGTGTGTAAGGTTGCTTTTACTTACTATTTGAATTTTTTTTTTTTTAAGCCAGGGTCTCACTCTGTTGCCTAGACTGGAGTGCAGTGATGCAATCATAGCTCCCTGTAACCTCAATCTCCAAGGCTCAAACAATCCACCCACATCAGCCTCTGGATAGCTAGAACTATAGGCTCACACCACCATATTTGGCGTTTTTTTTTTAATAAGAGGCAAGGTCTTGCTATGTTGCTCAGGCTAGTCTCAAACTCCTGGCCTCAAACAATCCTCCCACCTCAGCCCCTCAAAGTGCTGGGATTACAAGCGCGTTCCACCACGCCCAGCTCTACTTGAAACTTTTATACCAAAAAAACACCCTGTGATATTTGAGGGAGAGAAAGTATTTTTTAAGAGTAATTTTGTAGTGAGAAAGCTCAAGAAGCAAATATAGACTACTATTTGAGTAAGTTTGCTAGTAAAGTTAGAAGAAAACAAGACTAATAAAATATTTCAGGAAGAAGTTGAGAATGCCTAGAAAGAGAACGGTCTTAGTCATCCTGATGGCATCTTAATTTAGAAATTAAACATAACTCGCTTAGGTCTCATTTTCCTCATCTGTAAATGGGACTATTAAAACTACCAATCCTTAGGGTTATTATGAGGGTTATACTGTGTAAGATACGTACCAAAAGTCCCTGACGTGCATCAATACTGCCATAAAAGCCCAACATAGCTCCATTATAAGACACATACTACCTTTCTGGAAAGCAAAGTTACCTGGTAAAATGCAGACATGGTCAGATAGGGAAGAAAAAGATGCACTAATGGAGAAGATTGAGAATACAGTAGAGAACTTAACACACAGTTGAACAAGTATCTTTCAAACTTAATGCAAGGCCTAGGAGAAAAGGGCTCAAGCAGGCCATGTTGAGAGGAGCATGGCTAAGTATGACAAGGAATATGGCTACGGAACAATCCTAACAAAGATGGGCATGGGTTTAGAACAATGAGTATGCATTAACAGGTCAAAATGCTAGATATCAGTATATACACTGAAGGTTAATAAATGGAGAGTGCTACTTTGAGTAGCAAGAACTTTGAATATTGAAGGACTCTGGAGGATGGGCCAGTTCCAACTCATTTTTAAAATTAGTCCAGCTAAATAAAAATTTCTGCAATGGCAATACCAGAATGGTGAAAGCTTACAAATAAAGAGCCAGGTGAAAAACTGATTCATTCGTTAAAGTAAAAAAATAACCTAATAACCATAAAAAAAATCATAGAAGACAGCAAAAAAAAAAAAAAAAAAAAATAGAGAATAAACATGGCACATTCCCTGACTTCAAAACAGATGGCACCATTAGTCATGCTCTGAGAAGATGATGACCAATCCCTGGAACAAAGCCACACAAACAAAATAACAATCCTCATTGTGCCACTAAATTTTACTTTAGCTCCTATGCCAGAGTTGCCCAAAACAAGCAATTTTATTTCTTGCATATATCGTGGCAATTTTACGAAGCAAAAATCAAAAATTAAACTGACCTTTGGAGTACCACAGTCACACTCTTCCCCAGCGTCCACCAACTTGTTACCACAGAAGGGAGCACTATAGGCTTCATCAGGCTTTGGAATATTAAGAAGGCAGTTTCCTCCTTTATTTAAAGTTAACTTCTCAAAGTCCTCTGCACTGCAACTGCTAAAGTTTCTGGAACCTCTATAACAAACATTAAGAAAAAGATCTTATGTCACAGTGATTACTCACTTTGAAAATGTTAAGTCATATCTTTAACCTACAAAAAGTGAATATTTTAAATGACAGAAAAGAAGCTAATAAAAGTGGACATAAATGAGAATTCATGTCTATTCCTGATAAATACTGAACATTACTTCAGCTACTATATAAGAATTCACTAATTACAATATATTGTACTTCCAATAAAATATATTTAAAACATAACACTCACATTGAAATACAAAATGATAATTCTCAGTATCCGAAGAGAGTTTAAAAATTATCTAGCCCTATAGAGAAAAAGTTTTACTTATCTAACATAGTAAAGGTTCTTAAAATATTGGAAGCTAGCTGTATGTTGTCTCATTTTCTATTCTGAAGGATAACATTGTTATGCTCACCCATGCCTATTATCACATACTAGGAGCTCTACAAAAATAATGTGAATGGGCAACTCCAGTTCAGATGCACACCAGTCATCAAGAGGCAGACTGCACAGTATAGAATGTCAACTACTCCTATATGATAAGTTTTCAGTTTGAGCTTTAAATATAATAACTTTTATGATAATTCCTGGGAACCAAGGTTAGTACTTTGAGGGTTAGTTGGCCTTTAAGAAATTATCCAACTTGAGGTACGTGGGATTTTACCTGGGACTTTTTTAGCTACTGTTTTACTCAATAACTACTTTCAGATAGTCCCACAGGCTATTTTCACCTTTGAAAACTAGTGGAAAATACACCTATACACCACCTATATCTTTGATGAATCCACATCACATTAAAATTCTATTTTATTTTTGCTTTTGTAGCCTGAGTTTTTGGTGTGATATCCAAAAATCATTGTTAAGGCCAATGTCAAGGAGCTATTCTTCAATGTTTTCTTCTTAGAAAGTTTTATGGTTTCAAGTCTTACATTTAGGTATTTTATCCATGTTGAGTTGATTTTTGTGTATGGTGTAAGATAACGGTCCAACATCATTATTTTGCATATAGAAATCCCAGAACCATTTATTGAAGAGAACTATCCTTTTCCTATTGTATCCTCCTGGTACACTTGTCAAAAATTAATTGACTACAAGTTTGGATTTGTTTCTGGGCTCTCTATTCTGTTCCATCGGTCTAGGTGTCTGTGTTTATAGTACTACTATACTGTTTTGGTTACTATCGCTATCAAACTGAAAAGCTCTGCACAGCAAAGAAAACAGCCAACAAAATGAAAAGTCTACAGATTGGGAGAAAATATCTGCAAACCATATAACTTATAAGGTATTAATATCCAAAATATACTTTTTAAAACTCATACAACTCCATAGCAAAAAAACAATTAACTCTGTTTTTAAAATGAACAAAAGACTTGAATAGACATTACTCCAAAATGACATAAAAATGGCTAATAGGTGCATGAAAAGGTACTCAATATCATTAACGATCACGGGGCCGGGCACGGTGGCTCATGCCTGTAATCTCAGCACTTTGGGAGGCCGAGGCGGGTGCATCACAAGGTCAGGAGTTCAAGACCAGTCTGGCCACGATGGTGAAACCCCGTCTCTACCAAAAATACAAAAATTAGCTGGGTATGGTGGCGGGCGCCTGTCATGCCAGCTACTCGGGAGGCTGAGGCAGGAGAATCGTTTTAACCCAGGCGGCAGAGATTGCAGTGAGCCGAGACTGTGCCACTGCACTCCAGCTTGGGCTACAGAGTGTCAAAAAATACATATATAAATAAAAACAATCAGGGAAGTGCAAATGAAAACCACAATGAAATATCACCTCACCCCTGTTAGGATGGCTATCATTGAAAAGACATGATGGCTGGGCACAGTGGCTCACACCTGTAATCCCAGCATTTGGGAGGCAGATGCAGAGAGATGACAAGGTCAGGAGTTCAAGACCAGCCTGGCCAACATGGTGAAACCCCGTCTTTATTAGAATACAAAAATTAGCCAGGTGTGCTGGCACATGCCTATAATCTCAGCTACTCGGGAGGCTGAGGCAGGAAAATCGTTTGAACCTGGGAAGTGGAGGACGCAGTGAGCCAAGATCGTGCCACTGCACTCCAGCTTAGGCGACAGAGAGAGACACTGTCCCAAAAAAAAAAGAGAGATAGTAAGTGCTAGTGAAAGTATAGAAAGAAGGAAACCCTTGAGCACTGTTGATGGGAACATAGACGGTTGTACCCATTGTGGAAAACAATAGGAGTTCCCTAAAGAAATTTAAAAAAGAACTATCATATGACCCAGCAATCTCACTTTTGGGCATACACCTAAAGAAAATGAAAACACCACCTCATAAAGATGTCTGCACTCTCCTATTTTCAGTGCAGCATTAGCCAAGATATGGAAACAAACCAGTGTCTGGCAACAGTTTTATAAGGCTGATTATTATTCATCCTTATAAAAGGAGATCCTGACATTTACCACAACATGATGAACCTGGAGGATGTTATGCTACATGAAACTAGCCAGACACAAAAAGAAAAAAATCTTGCAGGACTTATTTCGGAATCTAAAAAAAGAAGTAGAATACCCAGAGACAGAAAATAAAACACTGATTACAGTGGAGGCAGATGAAATGGGAGATGTAGGTCTAATACAAAGTAGCAGACATGTAGGGCAAAGAAGTCTAGAGATCTCAGGTACAGCATGGAGACTATACGTAAAAATCGTATTATATTCAGGATTTTTGCTAAGAGGATATTTTAGGTGCTCTTTGCCACACACACGCAAAATGGGCAACAATGTGGAATGATGGATGTATAAATCTGCATGACTAACCATTTCACAATCTATATGTATATCAAAACATGTACACTTTAAATAAACACAATAAAATTTATATATTATATATAGTTGTATTTTTTCGGGAAATTTGGTACTCTGAATCTCTTTTTCATCAGTTTGAGCAATGGTACCAGAGTAGCAGCAGGAGTGAAAGCTATGTTGCATTATAGTTAATGAAGGAGCATCCCTATTTATGGCTGGGTTTTTTGTACCTCCAAGGAACTCTAAGAAACATATTTTTTGCCCTGAGTAGTCATGTTAAACTCTTCTTTGCTAACTGGTCTCCAGTAGAGTTGATAGTACAGACTCCTCCCTCTTGGATTGGGATGCAGTCTGTCTAGAACATTTTGGTACTGTTAACTATTTGACAAAAAAAAAAAAGTCTATAGATGTGGGATACAGAAGGATTTTAAAAGACTGACTGGCAGAGAAGGAAAAAAGAAAGAACATGAACAATCAATGGTTTGCAATAAAAGAATAGGCAAAGGCAAAATTCTGACTCATGGAAAGAAAAGATTTAACATAAGGCTTCTAACAATAACAGAAAGACCTGTCTTCCTTATTCTTTTTCTTGCTACTAAAAATAGTGTGGGAAGGAGTCCTTTTGTGCAATATCAATCAACTAGTCATTCAACAAACATTTACTGAGTATCTATTATGTACAAGGCATTCTTCTTGGTGCAAGGGATGAAACAGTGAACATAGCAAAAAATTCCCTGCCCCTGTAAGGTTATGATTATGATTCAGTGATTTACTTATACAATAAGTAAATTAAATAGCATATCATAAGGTAATGAGTGCTATGTGGGTGATAAGCTCTGCAGAGGAAGGGATGCTTATGATTTTAAAAGAGCAGTCAGGACAGGCACCTCAAACATGTGAGAGTTCAATTAAAACTGGGTATCTGGGAGGAAAACATTACAGACAGAAGGAATAGCAAATGCAAAAACTCTAAGTTAGAAGCTTTCCTGGCAGCTGAGTCAGTGAGGAAATGAATCATGAGAGGTACAGTCAGCAAAGACGGGAACCGGCCATTGTAAGAACGTGGCTTTCTACTATAAGTGGAATGAGGAAGTTGGAAGGGGGGGGGAGACCATGGAAAGTGCTGAGCAGGAGTGACATGATTTGACTAACGTTGTAATAGGACCACCATACTTGTTCTGTTAAGGAGAAAGACCACAAAGAAGGCTCTTATAGCAATTCACTAAACAGATGACGACGGACCAAAATGATAACAGTGGGAGCTGTAAGATGTGGTTGGATTGTTTTTGTTTTTAAGGAACAGCCATTAAGATGAAGAGTGAGAAAAAAGAGAAATCAAGAATAACTCCAGGGTTGTTGTCCTGGGATACAAGAAGGAAGGAGTTACCATTAACTCACATGGGGAAGACTATGGGTAGGTCAGATTTTAGGACGACTTTAGGAGGGACCACAGGAGTTTGAGGCTATTAGACATCAGGTAAAAATGTCAAAGCAATATATAATGATTATTTGATAAACAAAGAAGACTGCAGTTTAAACACAGGCTTCTAATTGTTTTTTATTTTGTACTGTTGATCTTTAGTTAATAAGTACAGTACCTGCCACAGAGTACACATGCAATAATGTTTTCAGTAGGAGTATATTTAATAATGTAACCTCAGTGCTTTGGGAAGCTAAGGCAAGAAGATCACTTGAGCCCAGGAGTTCAAAGCCGCCTGGGCAACATAGTGAGATCCTGTCTCTACAAAAAATAAGCTGGGCATGGCGGTGCACACCTGTAGTCCCAGCTACACAGGAGGCTGGGATAGGAGGAGTTTAAGGCTGCAGTAAGCTATGATCATGCCACTGCTCTCCAGCCTGGGAGACAGGGCAAGACCCTGTCTCCCCGGGGGGG